AAAAACTAATGTGGCTGTGACAATGTTCTTGGCTGTGGCCACTGGATGATTCTGATTCTGAAATTACCATGAATTATCAGTAATACGAAGCCAAAGGATGTCATTCCGGATTGTTCATATGATTCAGCTTTTATCCTCCACAACAGCCTGGTATGAACGACAGAACTACGGGAAAAGTGAACCACCACACTACTACAACACTAGCACTAGACAAGTTATATGAATCAAGTTGCATTTTTACAAATTTGTCCCTGGTTCGGAGACCCTGCCTGGCCTACATTGGATGGGGCATCCTGCAACGTGTTGCAATATGATGGGCATGATGCTGCATTGGCCTGCGATGTACGAGAGGCATAGCGAAGCTCTCTCTCTCTCTCTGTCTAAACAGTGCGGTGGGTTGCGATGGTTGCCATCATGCACTCATGTCATCCTTTGCCCTACATTGCCCTACATTGTCCTACATTGCCCTACATTACCCTACGGCCCTACATGTGTGTCAATGGTTGTTAATATTTGTTGTATCTCAAGAGATCTCAAGCCTGCTTGCATTGCCGTGTATGACATTGACCGAATTGTCTCATTAAGAATGACCGGCCACGTGTGATCAGTTGAATATGTTGAAATTAATTACTTTGGATATCTTTGGATAAATTCAATGAAGTCAAGCCACGTGCACCAAGCAAACGTAATTCTATGTACACGCCCTCCTCCTGCCTCCTAGCTACTGTGAATTGAAGGGAACACACAAAATTGTGCCGAAGTGATGATTGAATATGATTGATATGATTGCTGAATATTGCTGAAGTGAAGTGTCTCATCACGTCATGAATTTCATGAATTGTCATCGAGTCATCATGTCTCTGTCGCAGCCTTCGGGACCCCAGTATTGACCCATTTGACTTTGCAGAGATGGACTGCCAAGATCTTCCAAGTTCTGAAGTCATCCCTCAGCTGACTGCCCGTAAAAGAAAACTCCTTCTCAATATATCTCCATCGTAACTGTCAAATTGTAACGTTAAGTTATCCTAACATGATCGTGAGCTTACGATAACAGCTCTCTCTCTCTCTCTCTCTTGAAAGCTACCTTGTGGTGCAGTTTGCGCTGGTAAAGACAACTCTGACAAAAAAGTAAATGAAGAGAGAGAGAGAGAGAGCAAAGCCAGCACACTCTAGCTGCGGCCCAGCGGGCCTAGCGCTTGCTGCTCACACGCTCTTGCAATCTTGCAACCAACTCGTTAAACCTGCAGGATCTGGTAAATCGCAGCTTGCATAGGGATTAGTCCTTTTATGTCCTATTGAATTCCTATTCCAGAGTGTTTGAACACATTTGAACGCTTTATTTTGGAGACTTTGAAATGATAAGAATGATTTGCTTGTCAAGAAGGATGTGAAGGCAAGCCGATAATTACTGTCTCCGAGGGATTGGAGCTTGGTCCAAACGGTTCCAGTACGCAGCGCATCCTCTGATTTTTGGATATTTTTTGGGGCTAACGGATATCTAACGGCTAACCGGACTCCAACCCACAAGGCAACAAGGTGTCAAATAAGCAAACCAACCGTGCATTAACTTCTTCCAAACTTGGCTCCAGTATGCTGCATGCTGCAGATTGCTGCAGTCTATAATTATGCTTGGAGCTGCTTGGAGTCAGGATGTGCTCCGGGAAAGTGGCATTTTTTTGGCAAAAATTGGCTGAAACAGAAACAGTCGCTGTCGAGCCTTGCGTCTGCTACTTCTCTTTTTTGAGCCTCTGCATCTCGCTGCTCCTGTGCAAAATTGTTTTGCAGAATCAGTGAAATTCAGTTGCGTTTCTTTAATCACTAAGTCACTAAGCAGTCATCAATACATTTAAGACTTTATAAGCAATACTAAGCATATATCATGATCCCATCGAAATTTCGTTGCCCTTTGTGGAAGTGGGTGCAGAAAACATGAAAAAAGAACACAATGTGATAAAATGTGTACTGAAAAAAAAGAACGAACGAACTAGTCGCCCTCATCCTGCGCTTCTTGCAGCGATCTTTGAAGACTGTGCAGCTCCTCTCAAAGGATTGGAGTTGGAGTCTTTATGAGTTGAAAACGGACCAAGAAAATTGGTGCAGCACAGTGATGCAGCATTGCAGCATGAGAACGACTAGCAACAACTAGAATCAAACTGTGAGCCGGCTAGTATTTGTAGCTATTTGTACTAGGCTCTCGTAGGCACAGGCTCTGAGGTATGATGTGAACAGAAGGACAATTCACGCCATTCTCGGGATCTCATGCAACCCGAAAAACCATGAAAAGCAATTAAAAACACCTGTCAAAACCACCTGTCAATGTCACCTGCCGGGGTGAAATGAGGTGCCTGTGACAGCATCTGTTGACGCTCTTCCGCTTTCAAAGCTCGCTGGGTTGCCTGAGGGGCAAGGACACTGAGGCCGAGCAGCCATGGCTTTTTATATTATAATATGACATTTGTATGCATTTGTCAGCAAAAACTTGCCACTGTGTATGGATATGAAAGGATATGAAAGGAGAATATGAAAGCCAGCCCTCAAGCAATGAAAACAAGACACAACAACACCTCCAAAATTACACTTTGTCAATCTCATCCCCCCACACCCACCAAACTCATGTTGTTAAATTACTTGGAGAAGCTGAAATTTAGCTTCGCGCCGCAGCTCTAGACATTCTGGTGCGGCTTCATCAACATGCGTGCGTGTGTCTGTGTCTCTGTCTACGACACATTGAGATGTCTGCATGGCCACGTGCCAAAATCAACTCGATCTTGAAATTCTTTAGGACAGATTGATGCACTGTATATCACTGTATCATGGACATGATCAGGTTCGTGGACACCAGAATGTGTTCAAAGTCCAAAGCGATGATTCCTGGAAACATGGTCGGCTCTGGTGACTGCTGTGACTGTTCCTGTGACGTTCCTATGTATCATGATGTATCAACAGGCGATTTCCATCGATTTCCCTTTTCGGCCTCCTCTGCTGCTTGTCGCACCTGCCGGAAGGAGAAAAGCCAGAATCCGGTACAGGAACACCACCCCAACCAATTGGTCAACGCATTTCGTTCAGCATCCAAGCTCTGCCACAAATGCATGCAGCGGCTTCATCTTGTTCCTGCCTGAGATCTGAGTTTTGGAATATATATATAATATATAATTTCATAATATTTTATATATATATATATATATTAAAGTTTCTCCTAGTCCGTGCGCTGCTCGAAAAAAAGGAAATCCATCCGACTTGGGATGAAAAAAATGAGACGCGAATCTTTTGCACAGGCAGGTGGGGTTTTGGAGTCGGCAGCAGCATAAGCTCGAGAGCATCGTCCGAACCGTGAAACCAGGCCGGTGGTAGCGAGATGGAAAACTCTGACAGACTAGTGACAGGTCAAATCAACATAAATCAACACAACACCCGAGATAAACCCAAATAATCCCAAATACAGGACATCCTGGATGCAAATCAAATGTCAAAGATCAACTTCTAAACTAAACCGGTTTAGACTACTAGATTGGTGGATGCCGGGAAAAACCTTGTGCTGCTACACCCCAGCGAAAGTGGCACGAACAGTTTCACATGCACCACCTGGCCATCTGCACGCTTTGAGAACATCCCAGCGCACGTACAGCTCTAGCTTTGTCTGGCAGCGCATTTCAATAAATGCGCTTTACTTCGCAATCCGACAACAGAAGATCGCGTCTGAATTTTGGAACTGCTCTACCATCAGTACCATGCAACAAGATGCAACAAAAATTCCAACCAAAGACAGGCTTCTTTGATCCGCGTGTTTTGCAAACGAAATAGTGTCTCTGATCAAAGCGATCAGCAATGATCAGCAGCTAGAGTTGCCAGAGCTGCCTTTTTCCATTTGGAGCTACGTTTGGATGCAATTTGTGGCCAGTGCTCGTTGGTGACCAACTCATGCTGTCTCACACCTCAGAAAGCCAAGGAACATGGGAATCCATGAAATCAAACAAAAATTAAACAATACTCAACTCAGTAGTCAAAATGAGTTTTTCACAGTGAACGCATTTGATAGTATTTGTATTTTGTCATTATTGATTGATGGAAAAGGTCCCAACTTGGTCGAATTCGGCCAGGCACCAGTCTTTTCATTTCCGAATCATATCATGCTGAAATCATTTCGACGTCTGATTGTGAGAGCTCCGGGTGCATATTGTATACTGTTGGCATTGTATAGGCAACAAGTGTCAGTGCCAGGCCGCCGTACTTCAGTGAGACTCCCTCTTCACATAGATGGTCAAGACCTGGCCACAATAATCACAATAATCACAATTCATCACAATTCAGCGCAATTCTTCAATTGTCAGAGGATGTGGAAATAATGAACATAATATGAATATTATGTGTATAAGATATTCATCGCAATATCCCGACATATCTGGGCAGAGGGTTGCTACAGCGAAGAGTAACGGAGGTGCAGTGTGCGTGCATTGAAGGCTCAGATGCAGCCGCGGCTTCGTAGCCTTGGGCTTCTTGCACTCATCCACCAACTGCAAAACATCGCCGCGCAAGCCTCGGGATGTTTCCACGACTCTCCATCAGTACATATCAGTACCATTCTACAACATTCTACAACACTTTGTGAACATATGGAGAGAATGTGTCATACCATGTAATTCTAGTGTCAAGCGCTATAGTATACTACTAGAGTATACTATTGTTCCTATAGTCACTATAATTGGATACAGTATGTAGTCGTATAATGTTGTATAATTGTTTATCATTGCCATTTGATGAACACGCAGGAAAGACTGGAACTCTCCAGGCTTTCATGTTATTGAAAAATGTTGAAAAGATACCAGATGATACAAGATCCAACGAGAATCCAAGGAAAATTCAAGAAGAATCTAAGTCCGTCTAAGTTTCAAGATCCTTGGAGGGTCCAAACCGATTCCAAAGTGTTGCAGTCCGAGCTAGATGTTTTTATCGGCAGTGGGACCGGACATGACTCGAATTCGGGATATGAGTCAGATATTCTAGTCTGTTAATGTCTGTTCCAGCGCAACTCGGCGCAACTTGGCGAAACTGAATTTCTTGCACGAGAAGCCATTCACTTCAACGATGCGGTCCTTGGGACGCAGCGCCTTGCAGGCGGCGCAGGCAGTGCTACAGATCAAGTACCGTTGTTCTTCAGAAACATTCAGAAACAATTGCTTTTTACAATGTCCCACCACCTGAAACATCCTGAAACTGCTGGAGTCCAAGATCAAGAGTTCTTTAAATGGTTTTAATGATGTAACATGATGTAACTTCAGACCTGTTCGTACATCGTGGGCAGCTATAAAAGCACAGTGTCAGTTGATCTCTGGCAGAGACCTGATTGCAGCGGACTATGTAGCTCAGCTGCCTCAGCTGCCTCAGCTGCCTCAGCTGCCTTAGCTGCCTCAGCCTCTGGTTTGTCTTTTGATGTCGTTTGGATCCCGTTCCCTACCTTGTCAGGATGTTCCTCGTTCCACTTCTGGATCAGGCCGCCAGTGATGGCATCCACTGCCAAAGTTCGGCCGTCCTGTAGACACTGAGGACACTGCAGATGGTTTGTCTGGTCGTCCAGTTTGTCGAAATGCGCAAAACACGTCCATCGCTCCGGGCAGTAAATTATAGACTCATCAATAAAATTCAATAAACATGAATGAACATGCTATCAAACAAGAAGGTCCTCGTGATCAACATCCATCCCGAGCCGCTCGCCATTGGTTTTGTCCTTACGCATTCAGAAAATGTAAGACTTCGGCGGCACAAATCATGCACGTGCGCAGGTACTTCCCAGGTTACTTCCCTTCATTCTGTGCCATGCCTTGCTACGAGAGAAAGAACATCCCAGCTAGGCTAAGGCGGCTAAGGCAGAAGCAAGCACGATGGCGAATTCTCCTTCCTGAGAGACCAAACTGGCATAAACTGGCAGCAGAAACAGAACGGGGATAAGGGGGCAAAGGATACCAAAATATAAGACCCTGGGGCAATCAGCCATTCCTTCTTGCTTGATGGGAAACGATCACACCTCATGACCCAATGAAATTCATTGAAATTCATTGAAATATATTGAAATCATAAATCTCAATCATTCATTAGATCCAAAGGCTCACCTTGAACCTTCCCGCTCCCCATTGAGGTAGCTGACGCGTGGTTGTGGACCAGAATCCTGCATGCAGAGTGTCTGGTCATTCACAAGCCAGGGATGGCCAGCAGAGTTTGCGCTGCCTCACTAAACGATGTTTGTACTTTGTTTATCGTTTCTTCTGCAACTCTCCTCTTGGATTTTTTTTGCCTAAAAGGTCTCCAGAATGTGAAATCTGCGAACTTGGTTCCTTGAATGTCAATATACATCAATCTTCGAACTTTAAGCCTTTGATTGCCTTTGATTGCCTTTGTGACATTTTGTGACTGTGTGGCTTGCAATGTGGCCTGCAATGTACATGATGCACACGATGCAATGCACACTCTAAGTCTCCAAGAGTTCCAAGGTTCCAAGAGCGGTTTGCCTCCACCACGACGGTCTCGGGAGCAGTTGGCACTGAATCCTCAGCGAAGTCGAGGGCTCTATGATGAGAAAGATGCGACATGTCAGACCCAGTGAAGAGTAGAGTAGAGATTTGTTCATCATGAGTAACAACAATATGTATCAATCTGTAACAATCATGTTCATAATAGTGCAATCATGGCTCGCGACTATTGGATCCATAGGATACAATACATCTTTGCCAACATGTCAGAACCCGTGGCGATAGGAATTTGTCTAGTATTCGGACATGTTTGGACATATCCGGACATGCATGTCTTTTTGGTCGCACCTTCGTCTCAATCGCCTCGAGCTTGTCCGATTCATCCTTGGAGCAGCAGGTCCCCATGGCCTCCAGAGCTGCAAAAGTGAAAAAAAACTGCAAAATGTTTTTTTACACATTTTTACACCATCAAAATGTTCAGTACTTGGGACTTTGAACAAGATAGATACTCAGCAACTAAGTGACAAGCGGGCTATGTTTGCCCAGGTTGTTCTCACGAACTCTTGGACATCCGATGCTACACAGAAGTCTGCCATGAATCATCCTATATCATCCTGAATCATCCTGAAGCATCCTGAAAAATCCTGAATGCTTCTGTGATTCAGATTACATCAGATTAGAATGTGACAACAATGTCCGAGCCACACAGAGCCAGAATGATGTCCGCCCTGCCTATGACAAAGCACTGATTTTGTCCGAAGACAACACGGCCAAACAACACGGCCAGTAAGGACGCTTGGAGCCAAAAGCAGAGCATTGAGATTCCATACTACATAAACACTAAAAAACACTAAAAAACACTAAAAAACTAAAATAAACACTAAAAACATACTACAACATCAATCGAACCAAACCACAGCAACATTGCAGAATAACAAAACGTATAATAACACGTGTCAGTAGATCATTGAGTGAAATGCCCTCAAATTCAAGTTCTTTGCGGCTCAGTGTTGCTGCCTCCAGGTCTTTACTTCTGATAATGCTCATCAAATTATATGCACTCTGAAAGCGCTGTTGCATTCTCGGGTTGGCAACACGTATGCACCTCTTGATTTTACCGTCGCCAAAAAACATGAACTACAAGACATCTAACTACAAGCCTTGCCAGTCAGATAGATTATAAATCTTCAAAAAAGAAACTCTCTCTCTCTCTCACTCACTCTCCCACTCACTCACTCACTCACTCACTCACTCACTCACTCACTCTCTCTCTCTCTCTCTCTCTATCTGTCTATCTGTCTATCTGTCTATCTGTCTATCTGTCTATCTGTCTATCTGTCTATCTGTCTATCTGTCTATCTATCTATCTGTCTATCTGTCTGTCTGCTTGTCTATCTATCTATCTATCTGTCTGTCTGTCTGTTTGTCTGTCTGTCTATCTGTCTATCTATCGATCTATCTATCGATCTATCGATCGATCTATCGATCTATCGATCTATCGATCTATCGTTCTATCGTTCTATCGTTCTATCGTTCTATCGTTCTATCGTTCTATCTATCTATCTATCTATCTATCGATCTATCGATCTATCGATCGATCTATCGATCTATCTATCGATCTATCGATCGATCTATCGATCTATCGATCTATCGATCTATCGATCTATCGATCTATCTATCTATCTATCTATCTAATCTATCTAATCTATCTAATCTATCTAATCTATCTAATCTATCTAATCTATCTAATCTATCTAATCTATCTATCTATCTAATCTATCTAATCTATCTAATCTATCTAATCTATCTAATCTATCTATCTATCTATCTAATCTATCTAATCTATCTAATCTATCTAATCTATCTAATCTATCTAATCTATCTATCTAATCTATCTAATCTATCTAATCTATCTAATCTATCTAATCTATCTAATCTATCTAATCTATCTAATCTATCTAATCTATCTAATCTTCTAATCTATCTAATCTATCTAATCTATCTAATCTATCTAATCTATCTAATCTATCTAATCTATCTAATCTATCTAATCTATCTAATCTATCTAATCTATCTAATCTATCTAATCTATCTAATCTATCTAATCTATCTAATCTATCTCATCTATCTAATCTATCTAATCTATCTAATCTATCTAATCTATCTAATCTATCTAATCTATCTAATCTATCTAATCTATCTAATCTATCTAATCTATCTAATCTATCTAATCTATCTAATCTATCTAATCTATCTAATCTATCTAATCTATCGAATCTATCTAATCTATCTAATCTATCGAATCTATCTAATCTATCTAATCTATCTAATCTATCTAATCTATCTAATCTATCTAATCTATCTAATCTATCTTATCTATCTTATCTATCTTATCTATCTTATCTATCTTATCTATCTTATCTATCTTATCTATCTTATCTGTCTTATCTATCTTATCTGTCTTATCTATATTATCTATCTTATCTATCTTATCTATCTTATCTATCTTATCTATCTTATCTATCTTATCAATCTTATCTATCTTATCTATCTTATCTATATTATCTATCTTATCTATCTTATCTATCTTATCTATCTTATCTATCTGTCTATCTTATCTATCTGTCTATCTTATCTATCTGTCTATCTTTTCTATCTGTCTATCTTATCTATCTGTCTTATCTATCTGTCTTATCTATCTGTCTTATCTATCTATCTATCTATCGATCTATCTATCTATCTATCTATTCTATTCTATCTATCTATCTATCTATCTATTCATTCTATCTATCTATCTATCTATCGATCTATCTATCTATCTATCTATCTATCTATCTATCATCTATCTATCCTCACCCAGAGGTGTGGTGCAATCTTCGCTATAAATAGTATGTGTGTTTTTCAAGGCCTTCTTTTGTGATATCAAATGCCTGTCCAGCATTTTACATTTAGACACCTAGGGTATCCGCAAGTCAGGCTAGGGTGCAGAAGTTCAGGTGGTTTCACTTTCTATTTTCTGACGTTTCTGCCTCTGTCGCTTCCCGTGACTTCCCACAGATCACAGCTCCACATATCTCCACCTCATCAAGCTGTTGCTCGCTGCGCTCCTCCGTCTTTGATGCCGCCAAACGCTTCGCCTTTCAAGGAGGCATAGCTCCAAGTGCAAAAAGTGCAATGAACCATGAACACATAGCAGTTTGAACACGTTGAACAGTTTGAACAGTTTGAACGGAAGATGTCAATATACTAATTTCACCTACAGTAAACCACGTTTAACATGTGTACATATATATATTATACATATAATCATATGTACATATATATGCAGAGAGAGAGAGAGTGTGTGTGTATGTATGCTTACATATAATATTGTATATACATATGTATCATATAAATATATTCATATATATATATATGTATATTATATACATGTTCGTTTTCAGATGAAAACGGCCGTGCTTCATAATTAGGCTGGGCTCCGCATTCAAACCTATTCATCTCTAAGGCAAGTTGAAACTTGATGGAAAAGCACCTGGTGAATCATGCTGGTTTCGAATCTCTGTATCTGCCACTCGCGCTACTTGAGCAGCTGGAACTGCTGGAGATGCTGTCATCTTTGTCTTTGGAGATGATACTTCTTCTCTCTGTATTCCTCTTCATCTTCTTGAGCTACCGGTTCAGAAATAGAAGCATCGAAATGGAGCATGGTCTCTCCTGTGAAGGCTTTGCTAGCGCGCTCTAGTGCGGATCTACCGCCAGATCTACGTTTTTCGCGTCCCCAATGTTGCAAAATTGTTGTGGACAACTTCCTCAAATCATTATTTGGAAATATGATGAAATATGTAAACATGTATGGGCATGTGAACCTGTGTGCGCTTTCTCTGGACATTCTAACGCAAACCCGGACGTGCTGGATTTGTGCAGTTGGCCAGCACATTACATTACATTGACCGACACCTACATATCTGGCAGCGACTGCATGTCTACCAGTCAACAGCACGTTGAGGTTTACAAGCCAATGGCCACTGGTATGGTGCAAAAACACAAGTGAACATGACGCGAAAGAGCGAATTCGTATTATTATTATTATCATGGTCGTCATCATCATCGTCGTCGTCGTCGTCATCATCATCATCATCATCACCATCACCATCACCATCACCATCACCATCACCAGCAGCATCATCATCATCATCATCATCATCATCATCATCATGACCACTATTGGAGGAAGAAATTCGGACTGGATGATTTGAAACATCTGTGGTCATCAAGGAATGGATTCCTTACGCAACTAGCACACCAAGCAGAAGTAAGTGTACGGTTGGTTTGCAAGAGCGGCCTAACGGAGAATTCCAAGAGAACTATAAATGAGTGCTTGATGTGCAATTGTGTGCCTAATTCATGTCTTTGCACATCCCACATTGTGAGGATGTGCAGAGACTTTTTGGAACATCCCAGACCTAGCGCTGATCCTGCCAATCAAGCAAATGGATTCTCAAGAAAATTCAAGCCGCCCCTTGACTAATCAAAGGCAAACAAAGAGAGAACGAAGTGTGCATATATATATACGTATATATATATATATATACGTATATATATATATACGTATATATACGTGTATATATATATAATCATATAATCATATATATAGTCATATATATATATATATACGTAATTGTACGTATAGGTATACATATCCGTTGTAAGAGAATGAAGCATCACTGTGTTTTCACTGCTAGGCAAAGTTCAAACACTGTCACGTCTGTATATATAATTTGCAAGAAATGCGAAATGCAATGCCAAAGGCCCTGCTGTTCCCAATGCGCTATGGCCAGCTACTCAGGAGCTACTCGGCCTGGGCACGGATCAATTCCTCCTCGATTTCGTGTGACTCTTCCTGCCGTCAACAGTTCAGGCTGATCGCCTCTCTCTGGGCTGGTAGCCCGAGGGTGGACGAAGTATCCAGAAGCATCACAGGTTATATATATATATATTTATATATTTATTTTTATTTATTTATTTATACATATATACAATACGAATGCCTGGAATTGCCTGGAATTTCCTGGATCCCGGAGCACCATGTACCGACAAGATCCAACAATATCAAGTGGTTTCAGAGGTCAGGATGACGCTTGATATGTGGTGCGTCTGGGCCTATCATTTTTGACTTCTCCCCTTCCTGGGAGGCGCTGCCCAAAGGACTCCTTCCCGTCGAATCCAACTACTGAAAATACCAATAACTGCAGAAAAAATACCAATTACTATCCCATAGTGATTCACCGTTCATACAAGTAGCCTGTCATAGTCTCTGGACTGCAGAGATCTCAGGTCCTCCGAGATCTCTCCACTTGTCACACGCTCTGCTATTCTTTCTGCCTGGACCAAGAGCTCAGCAAAGAGACCGGCGATGAGCTCACACGTTTGTCTGCATGTCAGATTCTCCCCATTCAACGCGCTATCTTTCCCAAGGTGCTTTCCGTGTTTTACACCATGTCAGAAGAAGCGAGAGAGGAAGAGAGTGTAAAAAGATTGAATGACATTGAGCAGACTTGTTGAAAGAGTATTGTGCCATATTGTGCCATGTTGCGCCCAATACTCGCCCATGACCGAACTGTGGATCCAAACTCCCGGCAAAGCCGTTTAAACCAAAGTCAGGTACAGAAAGCGGTGCTTGGCATGGCCTGTTGGTCCAAATTTGCAAGCATTGATGTAGCATCAAGCGTGGCCTGCATATGCGGCCACAGAACAACTCGTCCTCAGACAATAATTATATCATATTAGAATCATATTCATTGATGTTGAAATTTTGTTGATGTGTCCTGTGTGATAATCTTCGATATTCTATGTGTGGCATAAGGACTCACTGAGTGAGTCAGGGCATCCCCGGGAGCCCCGGGAGCACGCAGTGCAAAGTTCGCAAATTTGGTCAAAGCCCAACCAAGAATTGGCAAGTCTAAATGTATGGGGTTTCCCAGCCCATCCTTGTTCCCAATGGTCTCACGCCCAAGCCGAAAGATGAACAATCAGGACCATCATGTTGAGGGTATGGTTCAGGAATCTTCAGGGTTTGCTTTGCTTCTCGGTATCTTTCCCAATGGTTCCTCCCTTACCACATATTGAATATGTCAACAAGGGAAAAAAAGTGCATGCAGATGCATGTAGCACATATGTAGACACTGCGTAGGCGTAAACATAGAGAAACAATGAGAAATACACGAGCCCTGGTTCCGCTTCTGTCCTGTTGCGCATCGGCTAACTGTTGCTCCATCTCCTCTGCCCTTCCTTTCAAAGTCAAAAGCTCAGCCTCTAGAGCCTGCCTGACAAAGTGAAGAGAGATCACAGAAAAAATTGAACTCTCTAAAAATACTCTAAAAGGGTCAGTGTATTTCACTGCCAGTGAATCCACTGAACAACCAAGTATTTTTGAAAAGTTGTTGGTCTATCTCCCTGAGTCTTGGTGCTTTCTCTTGCTAAGCTACCCCCCGCTCTGTTGGCGATTTTGAAACCTACTAGTAATGCAGATTAGTTTAGTTCTGCTTGTTGATGAATTTGACGAGCAACCCTGGTAGAAGTCCTCTTTGTACCTCTTTGTCAATGCCAGTTTCTTGTACCGTGGCAGAGGCTGTCGGCCAGCTGAGCGGCGCACCTTCTTTCATTTTCCACCTGCAAAGTGGCGTCTTTCTCTTCCAGCTCTGTCTCGGTGCTCTCAAGTTCCTTCCAGGCTCTGGCAAGAATCCAAAATGACTAAAACATACTGAAACAATTTTAACAAGGTGTATCAATCTTCTCATAGCCTGCTCTTTTTCTTCGCCATTCAATTTGTTTGCGGGATCTTGATTGAAAGTCTGATGGAAGCATGGTCTCACCTGTCCCGATGCAGCACTCATCCAGCAGCAGAATTGATGGTCTCAACTGTTAAATCCATTTAGATTTACAGTTAAACATGTGAAATCCAGCAAGACTCACTTTAAAAACATTAAAAGCGTTTTGCTACATAGTGCTTTCTGGGTCCCCTTGGTTGTCGGCGCCTGCTCTAGCTCCTCTATGTACCTGGGAGCTTTTCGTGAGGCCGCAGCATTGTGGGCAACTTTCAGTTTGGCTCGGTTCTTCGGTCAAACAGTTTAGTGCAGTTCATGGCAAGACCACTCTTCGAGTTAAGCAGAGGCCAGTATACTATTTCTTACTAGTACTTGCAACATCTTGCAGCTTTTTTTCATGATCATTCATTCATCTCTCACACCTGCTGCTACTAAGCTGGCCAGCTTTGGTCGCTTCTTCTCATGCTCAATGCCAGAACATCCCAAAATCATCCAAAATCTTGATTGAAGCATCTTCGTTCATATTTGTCAGCTTCTCATGCCTGCCTGCCTGCCTGCCTACCTGCTTGCTACATGCTGGAGCGCGAATGCGAATCATCTGTGTCACCAATAGGTTCATAAAACCAATGAAACTGCTTGGGATGCTGGACTCCAAAGTTGGTGCTTGTTTTCTTTTTGCTTTTCATCTGATATTGTGTATATTATAATTATATATGTAAATATATATATATACTCATTATGTATATATATATATTATTCATGCTCATGCTTGTGCATGCTTATCACATATGCGCGTCTGCGTGACGTTATTTATCACAACAGTCGCAGTTGGAGTCTGAGATCCTGACTTTTCAAAGCCCTTGATGACAGCAGTAAATTGCTGCACCTTTGAGTTGACTATGGATTGCAGCTGTTGGGTGGTGACGATGTACTCGTTGGCACCTGAACAAAAGCTCAGCTCCCGCCCTCCACAGTGACTCTACAGCCCAACCGCCCAGCAACACAAGTGACTGGATCAATGATCAGCGGGTTCCTCGATGTGTTGAGTCGACACTCCACAGGCTCCACAATGCTCCACAATGCTCCACAATGCTCCACAGGTCAAACTTTGACTGTCAAAGTTCTTTGAAGTTGACTCTGTCGAGGAGCTACCAGGCACTCTTCGCAGGCCAGAGACGTCCAAGCAGGAGATGGCTTGAGCTGCCTGGGTCCAAAGGTCGGCAACATCTAAACATATGCAGCGTCTGTCGACGCATTTCATCACATTTCGAGACATTTCGACACAGATATGATGGGATCATGATGGGTGGCTGTCATTCCAGCGGATGATGCTCTTGAAGTGGTTTTCATTCAGCCTGTTTCTAACTGTCCTCTAGAGAAATCCCAACAGTTCTGTCAGCATCTGCCACTTTCTTCAACTATATATAGCTATACTATACTATACTATACTATACACTATACTATACTATACACTATACTATACACTACACTATACTATACACTATACTATACTATACACTATACTATACTATACACTATACTATACTATACACTATACTATACTATACACTATACTATACTATACTATACTATACTATACTATACTATACTATACTATACTATACTATACGTATGGATACGTATGGTATCACTAGGAAAAGCACAAGGAAAAGCACAAGGAAAAGCACAATGATCTCCCAAGTCTCCCATATGCCTCGGTATCAACTGTGACAAGGGCTGCCTCGCTTGTCTCCGGGCTGGCCTACCGCTACAAAACAGAATGCACAGAGACCATCAGAGACCAGGATTTAGATGGACAAGGTCGGACAAGGGACAAGGCGAGCGAGCACAAAGAAAACATGACAAAACACTGAAGCGACTTCGACTGTCAATACTGATCAATATTGATCAAATACTGTATCTTCAAAATAGAAGCCCTTTGAAGTCCTCACATTTTGTGGCGCAATGTCAAAAGCATCGCTGAGAAATCCATATTGGCAGGAATTCGATTATATATATATTGTGTATATATATATATTGAATATAACATTCTGCTTCTTCAGAAGAGGCCGCTTTAGGCAGGCTTTCATGATTTCATGATTCTGATGGACTCTTCAAGCATGAATCGCATACCACGACCATGACCCAGCACTGTCTTTCCCATATATGACAAGATAAGCCACGACAAACCCAAGAATCATCCAAGTCGAGGACATAGACATAGACGGATTGATCATGATTCCGAACTTGTTATGTTCACCAAGTGGGCCGGTAAGTCTTCGTATGTGTGTGTGTGTGTTTCCTGAGTATCTGTCAATGTCACCAAGTTCTGTTGGTGACAGCGAAGTACACCCAGGCTGCCTCTAAGTCATCTACATCCCCATCCACCATGTCCACATCAGACTCACTGGAATCCTCATTGGAATCCTCACTGGAATCGTCTCCTTCTGTCTTTCCTGCCCCAACGATGGAAAAAGTGAAGGTTCCAACAAGTGTCTGCCCACTTCTGCAAGAACTACGGTATTTAAGACAGAGAAACTTACTGGGATATATGGTATTTGGTTGCTTTTCTTGACTGCAAGAAAAGATCTGAGAGTGCTACAAAAGAATCCAGTGGCTAGAAGTCCATCCTCGCCGAAGGTATGGGTGAGTTCTATACTAAACACTGCGCAAAACTTCGGGACTCCCTTGAATGCTTGGCAACAGGGCCACGTTGCTCTAGGGGCAACACGCGACTTATCAATGCGTATTACGTACCCCCTCTGGGATTCTTGGAGGATCTACTGTACTATATAGACTTATATAGTATGAATTGAAAGTCAACCCGGTCAAATTTGAAGGCCCTGGGCCGAAACAACTTGGGAAATGCTTGTCCGGGGGTGCAGAGCTGTGTTATCTGTGCCATATTTTACCATGGGAGGGGTCACGATGGCCTTCTTGTAGCAGTTTCATCAGCTCATCCATGTCGTCGGCTAGCTGGTCCATTAGCTCCTGAGACTCTTCTCTTGCACCATCACCTGCCCGTGGAGTTTGCTACACGGGCTGTCTCTCAAATATGGTCAAATACTGTATATGGTCACTTATGGTCAAATATTCTGAGATCTTGAAATCTGTCTGAATCAAACGGTCTCACAAAAATCGAATAACAAAATCGAATAGAATGATTCTGGTCTTTTCGACTCTTTCCGTAGCTACGAAAATGATCAAAAATGTCTTCAGCCTCTGGCTACACTCTCTCGACTTCGCCGTGCCGCAGAGATTCGTCCAGGAACCCATGCCTGCCGAAAATTCGAACTGACATGAACTGACTGTCCAATGGACTCCGAATGACCCCAATCTGTCACACAATCATGTCCATTCCCTCTATGCTTTGCTTGTTTTATCTTCGTCGTGGCCAAATGACATGCGAACTCCATGTAGTCTTTCATTTTTGCTGACTCTACGTAATTCCGGCACCTTTTCTTGGCTTTCCAATCTTTGTGTGGATCCCAGATTTCTTGACTGAAGAACAATCGCATGGACAGCCCACTGATTTTAGCGAACCACATGTTCTTGACAACCAGCTGTAAGCATATCCACGAACAAAGCTGGTGCAGGGATCACGGTCCTCATTGAGTGCCGTTGCCCCAAACAAGAAAGCGAAGCCCATGACAGCCCTTGCAGCCCGGAAAATCCCGCGACATCGCCGCGAAGCAAAGGTCGCCATGGCTGGAGATCCGCCACAGGCCAGTCCAACAGGCCAGTGCTACTGCTGTCACTACACGACTTTCACAGTACTTTCACGCTCTTCTCCAGTTCTCTCGGCTTTACCTTCGGAAGAGTTCTACGGTTAACATAATTTTTGCATCAGCACAGTATTCCAACATGGCCAAACGCATTACATGTCAGGGGCTGGCTGCTTGAGGCGTTCTTTGGTGGCAAGATCTTTCCACATATGTGGATAAATTTTGTTTTCCAAATCTTTGGCAGGTGTGTGTGTGTGTAAATCAAAGACTCTGAAAGTATAGAATCATGGCGAACCAAATTAATTTAGGGGCAGGTATACGTATCTAGGTAAGTGTGTATATTGTGTATGTATACAGACACACATATATATATAATTATATATATATACATGCATACTATTGCATACTTGACATATTGACAAATGAAGTCGGTTGTGCATGCATGTACGCATATATCATACATGCATACACATGCATATACATGTGATTGTACGTTGCTTTCCATGTGTCACGTGTTTGTCCTACGCAGCAAGATAAAATTAAAGGCTTCAGATGTCACGAAGTGCAAAAGACAACATTCGGCTGGAAAAAGCGGTGAAAAGAAACACTGCAACTGGTTGACTGACCTGAGACTGAGTATGGCCTGGTACAAACATACAATAGTTATAAATTTCAAATGTTATCAATAGTTTATGTCCAGCTTCAATGTCATGGGTATGGTTTGCAAATCACTGTCAATGGGCCACTGCGAGCACTGCTTACAAGTGATCCAAGGCAGGGTCATGAGGAGACTGGAGGACTGATTGCATCTGATTGTTTTATTCATGATTGTTGTATTCAATTAATTCCATTTCATTCCGCTTATTTATTTCTTCTTTTTAGTTTTTTTTGCGCCACAGGTCTTCAATCGAGACATGGTGCAGCTAGACAGTTGGAAAGTGTCTTGGATTGGAGTGATTGGAGGACTCGATCTGATCGGTTCACAATAGGGGCAGAGGCCACGAATAAAATGTTCGCTGTGACGTGGCTAGAATACAATAAAATGTACTGCCCACCTGCACCAGTGCGTGAAGACAAACGCAGGTCAGTATCATCTGGAATGGACTTCGGAGCAAATTGGATCTCAAAACACGTGTTCAAACAGGAAGAAGGTTGCCACACGGGTTAATACGAACTCTTAGTCTCTGTTCCATGGATTTCACGGCGTCGGAAATCCCGCCAGATGACTTGATGCAGCTGCTGTTTGGCACATCTGTCTACGCTGAAAAGATGGTCATTGTTGCAAGTTGATTCATGACATGCGGTCCGTACAAATGGATTCGCTATGAAGCTATACTCCTTATCTGACTTGAACAAGTTGACCAGTGCTTAGTCTTAGTGTTTCTTAGACTTGCCTGGAGGCACGAGCCCGAGCACTTCCAAAGTGAAAATTCGAGCATCTGAAAGAGCATCAAAATGCGGAACAATATGGCGGTGGCTCACTAGTGGCTGAAAAGGACTTACAGGTCCACAACCTCATTTATTGCACATGCAATTGAAGTTGTTAAAGGGTGAAACACGGACGAATGAGTGATAAATATGTATATATATATATACACGATTATATACGTAATAATTCGACGCAACGCCCACCATTTGCCCCGCAGTTTACATGGGGTAGGATGGGGTGGGGTGGAATAGAGTGGGGTGGGGATGTTAATGTTCCCTCGGCCATGTTCCCCGGACCATGCACAAGATGTTGATGCTACACTCACATGGGGTGGGGTGGGGGGGGTGGGGTAGGGATGTTAATGTTCCTTCGGCTACGTTCCCTCGACCTTGCACAAGATGCCGATGCCATGGGGTGGGGTGGGGTGGGGTGGGGGGTGAGATGCTAACGTTCACCCGACTTTGCACAAGACTTTGATGCTGCATCAGTGGGGTGGAGTGGGGTGGGGTGGGATGGGGCGATGATAGCGCTTATTCGACCTTGCGCAAGACTTTGATGCTGCGCCCACGATGATCTAATCGTTATGGCTTAAGGTGGGGTGGGGTGGGTGCATTTTGCAGCAATTTGCTGGAATTCTGTTAGAGCTGTTCGTTCTAACAAGATTGCTGGAACTGTGCATTTTGCAACGGTTCGTTAGGATTCTGTTTGAACTGTTAATGCAACCAAAAGAGCTGGAACTGTGCATTGCATGTTGAACCAATTTTGAAGGATTCTGTTAGAAAAAGACGATGATCATACAAATGATGTTGTTGTTGATGATGATGATGATGATGATAATGATCCCGTCAAACTCTTCCAGAAGCGGGGCAAATGGTGGGAGTTGATCGTAATATTACTTTACATATTGTATATACTGTATATACTGTATAATATATATATAGGCCCAGTGAACGGGTGCGGATTGCAGAACGACCATCCGCGGTGACCAGCCTGGATTCCAGGCCTTGCTCTCACGCTCCAAGCGCCCCAGTGAAGGGCGTTGAGTGTCAGAACTTGTCAGAACTCGTCAGAACTCAACTGCTCTCAACTGCTCAACCCAAAGGGGGACACCGAAAGGCTCACTTCCTGCAGGAATCTCCATAGGGAATGATCAAAATCAAAATCTGGTTGATCAGGACCCATGAAACATCTCATCTTCTGATATTTGCAACATCTCAACAAAATCTCAAAGGGATCATATTAAATCTAATCACAGTATGATCATCTCTGAGAGTTTATGAGGAAGTGAATCACTAAAGCCCCCACTACGAGCCTATCTTTGAGGTTGGCAATGTGGAAGACACACTGCGCTCCTTCGAAGCGCAAGACAAAGAAGCAGGATGGCTTCTCGAAGAAAACTTGGGTTGACTCCCGCAGGTTGAAGCAATACAGTCAGATAAAGATCTTTTCTATAATATATATATACATTGTTATATCCCAGTAGCTAATTATAGCTCTATGACTCTATGAAGTTCGTTATATCTCTAGCCATGAAGCTATCCTTAGATATCCTACCACGCCAAGTGATGTGTGAAACATAGCTCTACGTTGAGCTCCGCTGGATGTTGAGTCTTGCCTGAAAAGCAAAAAAACAGATCACAACTCTAAAGTCTATACCCCTCGCACTCAGCAAGAACTCAACGTCCAGGACAGAGCGGTGCGAAGATTCAGATTCTATCCACAGTCTTCATGCGAAGGGAATGGCCTGGCACGCGCTTGTGTCACCGCCCAGTGACGTTGAAGATTCAGCATCCCTTTGCAGCAACAGCAAGTTGTGGACTTTCAGACACGGTGATGGATTCCGGCATGTAAACAGTGCGTGTTAATTTAATTTAATTTGTAGAATCTATAGCCTGCAAACTTGTGTTTATGTATAGCCCGTATGGCCAACAATCCCTGGAGCTTGGGTCCCTCGACGCATCTAAAGGAGTCAAAGTCCTTAATGCCTGTACCTGGCAACAAGAATGTAAGAATGAGCGTAACTCAGTTGGCGCTCAGGGATGTCACATGATGTCACCATCCTTGCAACTTTAAGACACAAAAAGGAAACCTTCAGGCAGCAAAATGTGGTAAACGGATAGACCGTGCTAAACAACTGTACCATGCTGTACCATGCTGTACCATGCTGTACCATGCTGTACCATGCTGTACCATGCTGTACCCGCTGAGCTTTTGACCGGCGAGGACCTTTCACTGTCTCCTGAAGGACATGGACTTGAAGGCGAGTGACTTGTCGTGTTGCTCTGGGACATCCAAGTTGGGAAGTTTTTTGAGATGAGCAGGGATAGGCACAACACAGAGAAACAAGGAGCAAACCAAATGAGCACAAAATACCGGAAATGTTGATAGATGATGTGTTGTACATGTTGTACCTGTTGTACCTGCCGGTAGACAAACATGTGTTCTTTTTAGATTCTAAATGATTCTAAGAGTTTTTGGCCTCTGAATCCAACATTACACAGGCAAAAAAGTGACACGTCCATCTGCTCCTGCATCTGTTCCAGAGCTGTAGCTGGTTTTCCTCATGGCCTGTAAAATCATGAAGACTTCTCCAGGAGCCAAGACCTAAGAACTGAAAGCCTCAAAACATCTCAAAACATTACTATATATAATACTATATAAATCTCCGATTTAAGAGTTGAAGATGTTGAAGAGAGCTTCATGATTGAGAGCATGTCTTCGGAAAAATGCCAGCATTTTCAAACAAATAGAATAGAATGCCTTAACATGCTGTCGTCTTCGGACTCGTTGAATCGGTGCAGAACAACACAACCTTGTCCTATCAAGGCATTTGCAGCTTCCAGTGTAATTACTTGATCTAGATGGAAGCTGCAAATGCCTGGATTGGGTCATTGGGTCCGGTTTTATCAAGTTTCCCATAGTTTCCCTCCTTGAATCTGGATGCTCTCCTCAAAGGATTCAGTGTTTGAACTGTTCTGAGGTGAACCCCAAATGTCCTAATATTAATAGAACAAGTTGTGAACCTGAGGACTTTCACGGATGCCTTTACAAGCCGAAATCTCAATCAGAAAGTGCGGAGATTGCTCTCAGTCTTTCAATAGTTTTCAAACTTGACCCCTGCATCCAAATACAGTCATGTACCATCAAATATGCCAAAATATGCCCAAACTGCCTGCATCTCCCAAGGCATGCGCGGCAGGCGACCTGCCCAAATCTGCTGGATTGGAAAACCAAAGGGATCGAAGGCAGAACATGACAGAACGGCCTGCAGAACAAACTCACAAGCAGGAACCGGAAACAGCAAAAACAGGTGACCGCTACAGGAAACCCTGCGCCAGCTGTGAAGCTGTCGAAACAGGTTTCACGAGAAGCACATACGAGAAGCGCATGATGCTTTAAAGGGAGTTTTCCATGGCTTGCCAGTGCGCAAATATTATCAATTTTATGCGTTGATTGTCATTTATCTGTGCGATCCACATAAAAGGAAAGTTTACGAGAGTCTGTTTACGGTTGATGCTGATATATGGTGATGTACGTTTCAGGCACCAACTG